TGGGCCGCGGTGGGCGGTATCCTGAGCGGCCGTCCTTGGACCGAGCAGGCCGTGATGGGGCAAAGCTGGGAGGGGAAATCAGGCCGTGGGATGAACCACAGGGCAGGTGCCGAGCCAGCTCAGCTTAACAGAGCTTGAAGCCAAAAACGCTGGGGAACGGGACAGCTTCCCAGCGATGGGCTGGGTCTGGCAACAGCTCAGCACAGAACAGGATCAAGTTGTCCACGTCTCTGTAGCTCTCCTTTCTGGGGTCACAGGGAACCTTCCCAGAGCTGCATCAACACTCATATCCCCCATCGGTGACACCCCACCCTCCAAAGGCAGGGCCTCGAGATACATCAGGTTCAGCTGATGTGGATAATTATAAACTCAAGCTGTACGTTTGCAAGGCTGTACTGCGAGCCCTGTGCTGGGGCAGGCACCAAGGTGCGGTAATAACAGGTGAGGAGGAAGAGAGACAGATGCATTTTGCACCCAAACCCTGTACACAACCCTGTGCATGGCCCCTTCCCTCCCCAGCGAGCTGTGGTCTAGGACTGCTGCACCCTGTCCTAGGGCACAGGGGACCCAGCCCTGTGCCACGGCTGCGTGCAGCGACAAGTCATGTCTCCCCGTTGAGGATAGGAGATGCCATCCCCGGGGTCCCGAGCCAGTGCTCAGGCAGGTTTTGGCGTGACTCGAAAAGCCGTGCAAGCCCCAGGGTGGCAGCAGCTCTAAGAACAGCAACCAGGAGCTTGCTGCCGCAGGTGGGTTACGGCTGCACACGTCTGGCTGCATACCGTCCCCTCCCCACGCAGCTGCCAGCAGATGCCTTTCCCCAGTATTCATCATACGGCCAAACACCGCTGCAAATCCCGTGGATCTGTCACCCTGCCAGCCCTGGAGAGGTTGGCAACACTTAGAGCAGCGTGCAGGTCTCGTTCTGCGCCTGTCGGAGCCGTGAGTTCGTTCAGAGCGGCCGCAGGCTCGTCCTCGCACGAACCCAGGCACCGAGGGCGGTGGTTTGGGAGCCTCGTGCTCAAATGACAAGGGAGGAGGACGTGCTCAGGACACCGCGTTCATCTCCCTCTCCTCCTGCAGAGTCCATGGACTGCAACAGGAGAACCGGCTTCTACTACGACGAGCTCCTGAAAAATTGCATCAACTGCACCACGGTCTGCGGGCAGCACCCGAAGCAATGCGCCCCATCCTGCGAAAGTAAGGCCACGCGCGAGGGCTGGCAGAGCGGGGATGCGGGGCAGGGCCCCCCAGGGCCGGGCTGGAAGAGGAGCCAGGTTACGGGACTGAAGCTAGGAAAGGGACAGCAAACCCCGCTCTCTTCATCCTGGGAGGTTGTGTGTGTGCTGCCATTTCACTGGGACCAGGGAAAAGAAAGCCAGGGCAGGGCGTCTGTCTCTCTCCCGTTTTCTCCATCATACAGTGCGTTTTCCCTTTTGCGCGTCGGTGTTTCACAGACCCGTCCTTCGGCTCTACCAGCCAGGGGCAAGATCAGCAGTTGCATTTCCCACCTTGCTGAGCTGCCTCCAGCCCTCGGGGAGGGGGAGCAGGAGGGGATGGGTTATTTTCCCCGAGATCTACAAGTCCCACATTGGGGTTGAGATGTGGTCACTGGAGAAGGGGGAAGGGATCTCCCCTACCTCGCCATGGAAGAGAAATGCAAGCAAACAGAGGCGGCGCATAGCTGCTTTCAAATTCTTTCCAAGCAGAGTGCACGAGTACCATTAGCAACACCCTTTCCCTATCAAAAAGTCAATAGTGTGAAGTGTGTACCCGAGGGGTTTCTAAGCACACCCGTCTCTGCCTGGCCCACAGCAGGTGCCCTGGTGGCCACCCCCCATCTGCCAGCCACCCTGGTCACAGCCTCGCCGCCCACAGCTGTGCTGGAGCAGAAGGCGTGCGCGGAGCCGGAGCCGTGGCTGGTGGTGTACCTGCTGCTGGGGCTCTGCCTCTGCACCCTCATCTGCTCCCTGCTCCTGGGCTGGACCCACCTGCGGAGGAAGGGAGAGGTGGTCTCCTGCCAAGCCAGCACTGGGACCTGCCACCGCAGGGAGGACTCCTCCAAAGGTGAGTGCTGGCTGCACTGGGGGGGCTGGGAGAAGATGGGGAGCTGGTGGTGGACAGGCTCCCAGGTACTGCTGGGAGGGACAGAAAGCAGAGCCAGTTCGTAAGAGAGGTAGGGAGAGAAAGCAAACGACATGCAACGCGGTTCAGTCTGAGCCTGGAAGAGGAGCAGGACTGAATCCCCATGCCCAGATTCTCCATCGTAACCCCCTTCTCAGTCACTCTCTTGCAAAGCCACAGGCACAGCTTCCCGCTGCCAGCCAGTTCGTAAGAGAGGTAGGGAGAGAAAGCAAACGACATGCAACGCGGTTCAGTCTGAGCCTGGAAGAGGAGAGGGACTGAATCCCCATGCCCAGATTCTCCATCGTAACCCCCTTCTCAGTCACTCTCTTGCAAAGCCACAGGCACAGCTTCCCGCTGCCACCCACCACCGAGGGCTGGGCTGAGGGCTGGAGCTGGAGCTGCACAGTCGACCAGCAACTCTCCAGTCTCTATCCAGAGGCTGAGCCACGGGGAAGAGGAATTGCAAAAAGCCAACCCTCTTCCAGAATGAACCACCTGCCCGCTTGCTCCTTGATGCAGCCGGTCTGCTGAATTATCTTGCAGCATCAAAACCTGAAGTTTTAGCCCTGGAACCAGGGGGGCTTCACAAGTCTTTAGGGAGAAAAGATAGGGAAAGGATTACGTGCAGTAATTCAATATAGAAAAGATGTTTTTATTTTCCCTCCTCCTCTCCTCCCCTGCCTTTAAAAATAAAAAGGTCTGTCTACCTATTTATGTATACCCGTACATGTTTACATACATACACTTCAAAGCCAGTCATGCTGGGTGTCAAAAGTCACGGAGAAAAAGCCCACGAGCTGGTGCGTGGCTCCGAGTCACTCTCCAGCAGCACTGTAATTCATGCCATTCCTATCTGCTTTGGTGGAAGGACACGGTGGCATTGAACGTTCACTTTTAAGGGAGGCTGCCAGGTTCAAAGAGATTTACTATGTGCTTTTTAATACCCCTGGTGTAACCTTGCTTATCAGATCTCGGATGACGGAGCAGAGCCCTTTGACAGCTAGCGTCCAGCCCGCAGAGCGTCATGGGTCCCTCGTACTGGCCGCGGGCAGCCAGCCTGCCACGCTGCACTCGCTGGAGCTCTGGCACCTTGCACAGTGCTGCGCCGTTGCATTTGCGTATGCTACAAAAGCAGCATTTAATGAAAAGAAAGTTTACATGTAACGTTATAAATATCACAATTGCTTTAGTGCTAAACCTCCAGCCTTCCCGTTCGAGGCACTTTCCAATTTCCCCCCCAGATCTCACCTCCCAGGGTGGCAGGACTGGGTGTGAGCACGTAGGTGATGCACTACGTACAACACACAGTGCCGTGGGCTTTATCAAAGTGGTGGGAGGCGGATGTCCTCTCCAGTTCCAGGACTGGTTCTTTATAGCCTCTAATGCAGCACTGCAAAGCACTTCTTGGGTAAAAGGTGCTCCTAAAAACGCTTGAGCTAATACACGTAGTTTATTTGCAGATCGTCTCGTGGAAGCGGGCAGCGTTGGTGATGGATCCACCGGCAGCAGGGTCCCAGAGCCGGTGGAAACCTGTGGCTTCTGCTTCCCTGGACACGGCTCTGCTGTACAAGAGACCAAATCGTGCCACAGCACCTCCTATCACATAGGGGAAAGAGCTGCTCCCTCTCACACGGGGATATGCAGCAGAGGAAGCGCTGGGGCCATTCCCAGCCCTGACGATGGCCACTTCAAAATCATATGTTCTCCTTCACAAGAGAAGACGCTTATGGCGTGACCGTAGTGAATGTTCCTGCACAGGATCAGAAAGGAGGGATGCTCCCTCTGCCCCCAAAACACAGCTGCTTCACCCTCCGTTTCCAGTGACCGTATCGGCTTCTACCAGGACCAGCGGACCTGGCACAGTCTTTGCCCAAGGGCTGTAGGCTACAGACAGTGCCGTTTTCTTCCACTCAGGAAATGAAATTCTCATTATTCTTGTGCACTCCCAGCGATGGAAGTCGCTTCCCATTTAGCATCTTCCCATTTAGGAAGTCTTCATCCTCTGACTTGACCTCTGCAGACTCCTCCATGCGTCCCAGTCACTGGGAGCGATGTCTCATTGGGGCTTTTCATCCTGGTTCCACCATCAGCGTCACTTTGATCCTGGCTCCGCATCAACACCCTTTGCAGAGACAGACTGTGGTGTCCACCAGTCCCCATGGAAGGCACACCTTTCCCTGCTTGAAAACTCTACCACGTAACACAAGCGGTTCACAAGCAGAGCTGTAAGCATCTCAAACATGGACTCGGACCCAAGAAGTTACTCATGGAAGTTATAATGTCCACTGAATGACACTGCCACGCTCTCAAGAGTGGCGTGTTTTCTGACTTTAACAGACGTTTCTTTACAGGACAGAATATTCGGTAAGGCACAAGGTGTAAAGCTCCACTGCCAGCTTTCAACACTGCTCGGGAGGGGAGGACAGGTCATGGGTGACGGCGAGGCTTTGCCTTGTGACAGGACACAATGCTGCACAGCAGGAGCTGGGACAGGAACCAAAATCCCCGGTGCAATTGGGTTTAAATGTGAAACCTCATCAAAGTCCAAGAACTTTCTAAAAAACTGGATTTATGTACGTCTGGTCTGGGTTACTCAAAATAGCTGGTAAAAGCGATGAACCAGCTAGAGATACAGCTGCTTTGAGGGAAGATTTTTATCTGACCTGGCTTTGAAAGCTACTGTGGAAAAATGTGGGTTTCGACACGTAACTTGAAGTTCTCATTTTTACTAAAGGAGAGTGTAGGAATTTTTTGCTTGGTGGGAAATCACTCCTGGTAGGAGCTCATCCTCTCCACTTTCTCAAACTAGAGCTTCAAACTTGGAACAATAAATATGAGTCAATATATGCACAAATTGGTGCTGGGAAAGTAGACAGCTGGAGAAAGCACGAGCAGATAGTTATAACAGACTGTGCCCCCCATATTATGTATTTCTTTAAATGTCAATGTTTTCTTATCACTAGAGAAGGCACCTCCTGGAGGGTGACCACGACAAAGCCAGTGCCACGAGCGATGTCCGGTCACAAAGCAGAAAGGCGTTAGGACCACATGAAACCCATTAGAACTAGGAAGTGCAAGAGGTGGTTTAAGGTGAGGACTAAGAGCCCACGCGTTGGTCCCACAGCTGGTACGTGGGGCAAAGTTTTGCTGTCTTGAATTGCTCCGGGAACCAACCTGACAATTCTCCATCTCGTTATCCTCGCGTATTGCCTTTCACCTCTTCCCTCTGTTTAGCGAAGTCCTTATCCCGCAGCAGCACAAGGGATGAGTTTTGTATTGTGCTGCATTTGCATCCGAGGGGAGAAAATAAGCCTTTTCAAAACTGGAATCTCGTTTTACTCAGATGGGTCTCCTAAACACGATGGGTGAGCCCTGAAGGCCACTACCCCACGGTGCGATGGGGAGAGCAAGGGCTTACCCATGCGCGCAGAGAACAAAACACAGACCCCGGCCACCAGCAAGCCGCTGGCAGGGTACGGTGTCAGCGGCAGCCTCCGCTGGCTGGGCCTACCCCCGGACCTCCACCCACCGAACCTCTCACACTTGTCACCTCCCACCCTCTCTCGGCACCCAGTCCATAGGCTTCCCACCCTCCATACCGCCTCTACCTCCCACTCTCTCAACCTGAAGACCCTCTTGGCCTCCCACTCCCTCTTGGCCACCCTGCCAGCTTGGTCTCCCACTCCCTCTTGGCATCTCCTCTCACACAGCCATGCCCCCAGGGCCTCCAACTCCAGAGCATCATCTTCCATGGCCTTAGCTCCTGTTGTTTCTCTCCTGTGGAATCTGCCTCTGGTGTCGTGGCCTCAGTTCCCATGGTCTCCGGTCCTGTGGCCTCCTGCTTCCATGGCCTCAGCTCCCATAGACTGACACCATGGCCCCAAATACATGGCATCATTAGCATCCCAATTGCTCTACACCTCCAAAAGCCTTTCGGCCCCAGAAGCCACTTTGGCCTACAAGCATGCTCAGCCTCAACTCTTCCTCGGCTTCCCACCCCCTTTTGGCCTCCCACCCTCCTTTTGGCCTTAACTTCTCTTCGGCCTCCATCTCTACATCCAGCTTCCCCCCATCTCTCCGTTTCATTTCTAGCTCTGCCTTACTCTTCCTTGCCCTCCCGCCATCTTTTGGCATCTTGCTCTTGCTCTGCCTTTCATCTCCTACACCCTTCAGTCTCCCCAAGAGCCTCCACGTGCATTCTTGCTCAGCCTCCGCTCCTGCTCATCCTCACGCTCCTCTTCCGCCTCCCTCAGCCTTTTGCCCTGCCTGTGCTCCGTCAGGCTCCTGTTCGTGCTCGCCCTCTCCTTACCCTCCACTGCTGCTCAGTGTCCCACTCCCTCTATGACCTCCTACAGCACTATGTCCTCCACTCTCACTGGGCCTCCCACTCCTGCTTGGCCTCCCGCTCAGGCTGGGCCTTCCCCTCGACCTCCTGGCCTCCCCAGCGCTGAAAGCACTGCCCCTCTTCCTCTTCTTGGTTTCCCCTCCCCACGGCCTCCCCCTCTCAGCCTCTGCAGGGTGAAGGGGTTTTGCACTTACCCTGGGGCAGCACCAGCACGTCTCCCCCCTGGCACCAGGGCTGGGAAAGCCCCCAGCCCCATGCCCCCCTCTGCCCAAGCACTTCCCAGCGAGGATGGGGGCTCCAGGAGAAGGAAAACCCCCATAAGCAGACCCGGTGCCTTGTCACGCTGCCCCTTCCCAGCACAGAGCTCCTGCGGGCAGCGCTGGGGACGCCCGGCTTCAGCCCGGCTCCCGTGCCCCGAGGACGTTCAGGTGTCACCTCCAGGGACAGGCGCTTGTCACCCGTGGGAACCCCTGGCCATGCTACTTGTGCAAGGAGAATCAGAACCTTATTTAAAAATAGGATAGAAATAACTGAACATGTGCCACCAGTTTTGCAATTAGGGCATCTCTTGAGGATCAAGAGGCATCAATTAGTCAAACAAGAAAGCTTTTAGGACAGCATGTATGCCAGCTAGCACAAGAGCTCACCCTGCATGGCGCTGGCAAGCAGCAGCTCCTGCTCCAGCTGGCCCAGGAGGCCACTCGCCTTCTCACACCGAGGCAGAGCCTGCGCTGGGCTGGGGCTGTCCCTCCCGTCACCCCGCTGCCTGCAGAGCGGCGCTGCCCGGGCTGCTGCTTAGTGCTTCTCTGGTTTCTCCAGCACTCGCTGCAGTAGACGGAGAAAGCAGCAACACCCTACAGCAGCCAGCATCACTTGTGTCCCAGAAACCGGGGAAAATGCTCATCAGAAACCAAGTCCTTCCCTCCAGCATCGATACACAAGAGGGGAGCATTCCTCGCGCCCTCACAGACGTGCCTTCTCCTCCTTCAGGAGGATAACTACTGTTATCAGCATATAAAAGAAAAGGTAACATGGAGCAACTTGAACACATCAGCAGTGAGAACAATATACATGCTCCCAGCTACAACCCTTAGATGCTGGAGAACCAAGAGGAATCAATGGATTTGGTATCGCCTGCGCAGCCACTGGCCAACAGCTCTGACAGAGCACTCCTGGAGACATCACTTCCAATACTAGAGGAACATTGTAAGTGTGGGACACAAGCAGTTACAGCTGGGACAAGTTAAACTAGGTGGAATTAAGGGCACTGATTTTGAGCAAGAGCATCCACCTGGGGGTTTAATCAATTCTGACATTTCTGCTTTTGCTCAGGTTTTCATTAGGCACCAGCATCAAGTAAAGCTTTATCTCCAGTCAAGTGGCTGAGGGACAAGACAGTAGTATGCTGAAAGCCACTTTCTGGCTGTTTTTGTGCCCCACGTAGAGCCGTGTTCATTGCTGGTACGTTACAGAATATGCACTCCAGCGTGAGCCCGCGTCACCACACCAGTCTTTGTTTTCAGTCATTTCTGCAGATGCTTCCTCACAACAGACCAAGCTGTGCCGATATAAAACCGTACCTCAAAATAAACAAGTCAACCCCAAACTGCTCCCCGAAATGAAGAGGGTCAGCAGCCAAAGCAGCGCAGTCATCGCTCGTGGAGGAGGCGGCCCTTCACCGCTGTCTGCCAGCACGCGAGGGAGGCATAACTTCATCAGCCATTCGTTAGCGTCTTGCTGCACAGGAAGGCGCTTTGTGGTCGGCGTTTTCCTAAAGGTGATGTCAAGAGAGTTCTGCACAGAGAAACCTCCCGGTTCTGCAGGGAATAAACCCGGTGTACGAGCTGCGTGGCTGCTTCTGAAGAGATGAAGAGTAAGAGAAGGCTGTGTTTGAGAAAAAGCATCATGAGGGGTAGTGCTGCTCGTATGACAGCAGCTGTTCTTCCATTTTTATAGGAAGAGGGAAAACGCTCTCCCCTCCTCTAGCAACCTGCACTGATTTACTGTTCCTGGAAATAGAAACATGCCTGGTACGATTCAGAGAGAGACACAGGGGGTGGGATGGCAAGGGGAAGAAAAGAATAAGAGCTTTTAATACACCAGGAATTCTGGTTTTGAAACCAGAAACAGAGCAGTGAAATCCACCTCGCTCTCCATCTCCCACTGAAAACTGTCTGTACCAGCACAGTTGCACACAGCACAGCCCTCTTCACCAGCCTTACAGGCGTGGCGCAAAAAAATGAAGGCTGATTTATATGGCTGGCATCGTCCCTAAACAATTTGTTTCTGAAGGATTAACGAAACAGACTGCATTAGCTCCGGTGGCCAAGCGCGCGCTGGTGGAAAACAGAATTCATTTGTTCAGGCTCCAGCATCAAAAAAAGCAGCCAAAGGCTCAGACCTCGGCATCACAAAGCGAAGGCATCCCCGCACCGCGAAACCCAGCCGCCGCGCGGTGGCACTCCTCCTCCAGCAACAGGACAAGGTGGGGACGCCAACTGCAGCAGCCCTGGGAATAACGAAAGGCTGATTCTCGTCTTCCTCCGCAAGCTTGCTGCATTATTAAAAGGTAGCAGAAAGCGTCGCCGAGCATCTGCACGATACCGTGCCCAGTTCGGGGAGGGAGGGGCCCCCTTTCCTGCGGATGCGCCATTCATCTGCATTTCTCCAGCCATTTTTCATTTGCGACAGGAACGCTCAGGTTAAATCTTGCGGCACCCAATTACAATTGAAAATTATTTCAAGCATGACGATAGGGAAAGACAGGTTACAAAACCAGAGTACGCTATCACTTCTGCAGCAATCAGGCTGCCTAGGTAACTCCCATGCTGTACGGTACGTTTTCTGTGTCCGATTTGGTATTCAGGGTGCTTCAATTAACTGCCCCTTCTGCCTTCTCTGTTGCAAGCTGTCGCAGAAATCTCTTGATGTACCAAACCGCCTTGAACTCTTCCAGTTTGTGTACAAATCGAACGCAATTCCACCATCCTTTTGTTCAGCTGCTCTTGCAAGATGCTCATTTAAAAAACAAACAAACCCACTTCCCTTGTTTTCCTCCTATTTCTTCTGTTAATCAGATCACTTTCCACCTCTGGTCTCAGGTAGGTTAGGCACCTGTAACTCATTTCTAGAGCACAGTATCTAAAAGGTTAGAGCCATCCATGTTTTTAACGACACTGGTTAAAAGTGTGGCTGGCTGGATACATAGGCAGAGCTTAGTGGCCTTTTTGGTGTGGCTCTTACACCAATTTATACAGTGCCTAACTCTTACACATAGCTCCCTATAGGTTCCATAAGGAAGGGAGAACAAAGCTATTTTTGCTTGTTTAAGCTCTACGCTCTGAACGGTTTCTCTCACGGGCTGCAATCCAAGGCACAGCCCAGCCTCCTGAGAGGAAGATCCAGCACACCAGCGGTTACTGCTGGTGTCTCGACAAGCCAACGAGCTGCTTTTAAAAGACAGCGGCGGAGGGGGAGAAAAGGAGCAAAACCGCATTTGTGACAAAAGCGAGAATAGGCTGGTGCACCGAGCGCTGCAAGCTAAGGACGCCGATACGGAGGCTGTGATTCTGCAAGGAGGAGAGGAGTACGTGAGGAGTTAATACATGTGGGAGGATACAAGGAACCAATACCAGCCTAGCACATACCAGGAAAATGTGTTGTTTACTTAAAAACGGAGTGCACTGCAGAAGTGCTCAATAGCGGTGGATCTATCGCTCGATGCTGCCCCCAGCAGCAACCGTTTCTAACAGATGGCACATTTTTCAATGCTGAGGCTCTTTCAAGTGTCATATATATGCGCCTTTGGAAGGCAGCAGGGGGGGGAAAAAACCAAACCAAAACCAGCAACAACAAAACAAACAATTTTGAGAAATTCAAACTTATTCACAAGATTTAAAAAAAGAACCAAGACCACTCTTACAGTATAAACACGCCAATTCATTCGTTTTTACTGATGGTTGCATTTATGAATTTCATTCTCGTGAAAAAAAGGGAATAAAAGGAAAAAAATTAAGAAAATAGCTATTTATAGAAAACAAAACAAAAAAGGGCTCAAACAGAAAAGAATCTGTGCTGATGCTTTTGATGAGCAGTCCGATGGCATTAAACATTACCTGTGCAAGCAGGCATGCTTGAAAACCTGTCTTAGTACTGTAGCTTCAGTTCCACAATCCAGGATTTCTTTTATGGTTGTTGAAAAAAAAGAGCCTAATAGTTTCATACTGTATTTATTTAATAACTAAAATTCACAAATAAAAAGATACTTGCAAAGTCCTTTAGTTGTGTCATCCCCTCCTCCTCCACTCTACTGCTTTCAGACCCATATGCATAAAAAATGGGCTTGGATTTTTAATTTTAACTGTTATATGATTGGTCGTTGGAGCTGAAGCACCAAATGGAGAAGATGCTTTATGGAGATGAGGGTATAACCCCTTGCCTTCCCACACACATTTTGGAGGAACATAGGAGATGTACCAGTGCCCGGACTCCTCTGCTCCCATTTCCCCCACCCAGAGCATTCCTTTCATTTTATATTTCCTCTGTTAAGTGACTGACTGTAGCCTCTTTTTTTTTTTCCCCCTTTCTGTCCTTGCGGGACTGCATACACGTTGGACATTGTTCATTTCTTACTCCGCCAGGCTTTGAGTCAGTGTCAAGTAGGTCCTGTTACAGCTCAGTGCTAGTTGTTTTTTAATGGGTCTTTTCATTTCAGGTAGGTTTGTGTGTCGATTCAGAAGGCTTGCTTATTTTCTTCCTTGTTTATATCTGACAAGCTGCTGGATAAGGCTATTCATACTCCAGGAACTGTTTGTGATAGAACAGCAAATATCTGCAAGAAAGCAGAGGTACAATTTCAGCTTTCTGCTAAGCGTTGGAGCAGATTAGTATTTCCATTGATGCGATCATAAAAAATGAGGACTATTAATTTTGTTTTTCTTTTCAATTTTAAGCGATTCCAGGGACACGCCAGTTCCCTACAGTAACCACGGATGAGGAGGAGGGAAGCCAGCTGAAATAATTTTACCAGCAACTCGGGAAACTGAACAGTTGTACATCAAACAGCCAAACCTTCTTGTTGTACAATCTACTTAGAACCTGAAAGCTCCGGAAGATTGGACCGTGTTGGTGCCCAGACAGGCAGCATCCATTTAACACTATCATGACACAAAATACAACAGAGGGTCCTTTAAGATGCAACTGTTGCTTTAGAGTCATACTACCGAAGCATCAGACACTTAGGATTATTGCAAACTGTCTGCCATTTACTGTTACAGAAGCAAAACGAAGAACCGGGCATGTGGGTAAAACCTCATGTGTCCCAATCAAATCCAACTCCAATAATCTAATGTCTCAATCTGTACTCAAATCTGGTGTTTTAATAGGATGAAATTCTTCCTGTCCTTAATTACTTTATGCGTACTGCTATATAACAGAGCCCAGCCCTCAAGCAGTTACATGTCAGAGGGAAGTGGACTCATTTCTACATACTCTTTACACACCACACACTGACAGGGTCACTGCATGACTCTTAAAATGCTTCAAAGCACTTTTGAGACTTTCCAATTATTATCATTCCACCTCACGCCCTATGGAGCTTCCCTTGTACAATGCAGATCTATTTAGTGTCAGCCTTTATCTGAACCAGGGAAAATGGATCAGAGCTCAAACCAGCCTTTAATGAGACGCATGGGCAGCAGTTGCGTTCCGTATCCTCTCCTCCTTGCCTGTGGCAGTTTCTTCCACAGACATACCCCACCTGAGGACCAGAGCTAGCCACTTGTTATCGAAGAAAAACAAACTCATTTTTCTGCTCACCTCAAAGCACAAGTTACTTTGTCAAATCATTTAACACTAAAATTCAGATATTACAGGATAGATTTATTTTACTTCCTGGTTGAAGTTCAAAAAGTGAAAAAATGGGAAAATCTGTTAAAAAAATTATGAACTGAGCATCTGTGCCTGCAGCAATCCATGGAAATGTCAGGAATAATTAAAACAAGAACAATAAAGGCTTATCTTTCCAGTACCAAGTCCATAGTTGAAAATGCAAAATGAAGACTTCAGATTTTAAGTTACCTTATTCTTGAAACATGTACCAGTCCCCAATGCTTCCCTCAAACGAGGAACACCAAGATGCTTCCCTTGCAAACTACTGCTCTGCACTCCCAATACTTGTCTAGTGCAAATATCTGAAACCGTAATGTCAGTCTGAAATCAATTTAAAGCCATGAGCTAAGAAACAGCTCACATGCTATACCTGCCTCCCATATAGCCTTGCCACTCTGGTTCACAGTATTTTCTTAATGGCTTTTCTTCAAATCTTTTACACTCATAGTAATCCAAAGGTTCTGCAGACAAAGACTGGATTGTGTCATGGAAGTAAATACTGCTCCTACACTGGACAATCATATCCCTTTGGTTTTCAGAGTCCTTTCCGTTAGCAAGCAAGAGTTTAGACGTAAGCGCTGGTTACAGACACTGCAGAGTCAGCTGATGTCCCTCATCCTTCCCTCCTCCTTCCTTCAACAAATCCAGGATTATAAAGCAACATTCTGAAGCACTGACACATACACAGAGAGAGACATTAGATATTCAAAGAGAGAAATTAAGTCTTCCCTATGATGAAAGGGTCTTTTAACTGAAAGTAAGGAAAACCCAACAAAGGTCAAAATTCCCCTTCCTTTCTCCTTTCCAGTTCACAACTTACCCTTCACTGTCTAGCACATCCTTAATGCTAGCCTTGGTGATAATGGCATCATCACACTTGAACCACTGGTCCTTGTGCTGCCGGATGAAGCTGGTATAGTGCCCACTCTCCAAGGTTCCCTGGTGATTAACTACTGCAAACAAGGAATACCTGGTACAGAAAAGTTAATGAATAAGTGGATCAAAAGGGTAAAAACAGCTGACATTATAGACAGGCAGAAGCTTGTGTTCATAAACGCATATAGAAATAGTAAAGGATCTGATCCATCAATAAAACTCCAGCTCTTAACATTAACTGGGAAGAGGGCATCCTTGCCCAGGGAAAAGAACCACATTTTTTTTTCTGTCTTGCTATTACTGCAACGCTCCAGTCTGATGACAGCTGTCAGCTTTACCAATACTGGCTTCCAAATATTTTTCTTCTAAAATAGGTCAATATTGATGCATTCCTGAAGAGGACCACTGATTATCTAGTCTGACCTTCTATTTCCCTGAATTAGTTACTCTAGTGAAGCAGAAAAATGCATTTAAGGGATGGGGAAGGACGTAATCTTAAATATAGCTAATCTTAAATATTTCTAGTGATAAACTGCTGTACTGATTGTCCTTAATCTGGAAACTCTGTACCTGTTTTGAAATACTGAACATATTCAGCCTCGACTTCCAGCTTTCAGATGCTGCTGTGCATTTTGCCTGCTAGCCTGAAAACTAGCAGACACATCTCTGTTCCAAAGAAGGATACTGACAGACTGATCAAGTTGCTCTTAACGTTTTTTCCTCTTCTTTTCTTAAAAAGGACAAGACTGAAGTCCTTGGCTCTTTTGTTCCAAGGTAAGATTTTGTTTCCAGTCTTAAATATACTCGCGGCTCTTTTTCAAATGTTCTCCACTCTCTTTAACTCTTTCTTAAAATGCTATCCTCAAACTGGGATACAAACACAGCTGCACAACGGTAAAACCACCTCTCTAATCTCACTTGATATTGTTCTACTTATGTTCAAAATTCACAGAGCTCTTTTGACACAGTGGTGCCGCAACAAGGCACCTATTCAGTTGACTGTCCACAGAGCCACTGGTTTATAAAGTCACCCTCTTCCTAGCGGAGTCCTTTAATCCAGCTAGGATGGACACCATTCTTTAGTCCTAGATGGAGGATTCTAAGATGGCCCCAGCTGTTTACTGGCATGCAGCTTACTAAGCAGCCCAGATGTCTCTGCTCTCATTACCTAACCCTCTTCATTGTTAACAACTTCTCCAACTTAAGTCACGTGCAAACCTCAAAAGTGATCAGCTGTGTTTTCTTTCAGATCTTTGCTAACACTATTAAACCCCATACGTCTAATGAATCAATCGCTCTAGGACCACACATAACACCTGCCGGGTATCTGCTTGTATGACAACTGCACCAAGACCTAGTTAGCTAGTTTTTAAATCTTTCTATTGTGTGATTCCAGTTTCTTAACAAAACTTTTAGTGCCAAATGAAGTGCCTTGAAGAATTGAAATACACAACATCAGCACATGACTGTAGCAAACAAACTTGTAGCCTAAAAAAAAAAAAAAAAAAAAGAGAAGGTATCTGTGACCATCTCTACTCCCATACAGCTATGGATATTGCTTTCAATTACACTCCCTTTACAGTCTTGAGCAAGTCCCGCATCAGCCCGTCATTTATTCTGACTGGAATCAATACCTAACCAAGAAACCCCAGAATTACTGGGGTCATCTACTGGTGACTTTGAGTGTCCCAAAAACTTTCTTTTGGTCCTCTGGAACTCCCTTTGCTATTGCAATAGAAATAGGATTATTTAAAGGAAACACCCATCCCTTTTAATACTGTAAGCATAGCTTTAAATTTTGCTCATAGACCGACTGCTGGGGTTATCACCTTCAGATCTGAAAGTCAGCTGCCACAAAGCCACGAAAGGGTAGGCAATTGTAGTGAATGAAGCTTTATTCTGCAACAGTTCAGACTTACTGTGCTGTCAAATATGGTAATGCACTTCGCACTGCAGGATATACATCAGACTGTATATCTCCTTCTAGAAGCCAACTACCTTTCACAATAGGAGTCATGGAATGTACCACTTACTTATTATCATTGTTTAGACTATCCGTCGGCTGCTGGTATTGCCCGTTCATTCTGCTCTCTTTACTGCAACACACACACAAAAATCCAGTCACTTAAAGCAGTGGCTTCCCAAACCAAGGAAATAGGTTTTACATGACACAGCCTGTTTGCCAAATCCAGGTCCTTATTCAAAAGCACAATGCTGCTTAGCAGCAGAGAAGGGCTGCTGATTAGGATGCTAACGATGCTTTATTTGTTCTCACAGCAATGCTACATAAGAAACACCATTTCTCCTCCCGGTCAAGGCTTCAGTGCTGCAAATGCAGATCTGTTTACGTCAAGTGTCCTATCCAGAAAACAGGTTAGGAAAAGATTTGTATTTTAAACCTGGAAAAATATCTAATTACATCAATCCTTTATCCTGTGATGGGTCAATCATCCCGGCTCTGACTTGTAAATTCATTTTGTGTTTTGACAGCAGCAATAGGATTATGCTGTTGATTTCACAGCCGATGAAATTCAGATTACTGAGTTATGCCTGCTGATTATCCCATCTATATTCCATTATGCTTGATACCTTTCATCAGCAGAGCCTGTTCTATCCAGGGAGAATTCACCACAGAGCAACAGGGAAGTCTCAAAATCTCCAGAATATACTGGAATAAACCATATATTCTTAATGTAACACTATTCAACAGAGCTGCAGGGCTCTCTTTTCTCTCCTGGCAGAAGCATCTACTTTTCTCCAGGGGCTGGGCAGCGGGAGGGGGCAAAGCTTGAAATTACTAGTAAAATTTCAGCATCAAATAGAGCCCCCGTGTTAAGAGATGCCATGTTTTGGGGCTTTCTGCATTGCTTCAGATATAAATTAAATCTGAATATCCTCTTGTATATTTGAATGGAATACCTGACAAATACTCGTTAACTGAGATGATTAAATTCCTTTCATAAAGGTGTCATGTCTTTCACAAACCTCGGAGGTGGGAGAAGTCTTACTGTTTCTGTTTAAATACCAATTCGAAATACCTATTTTAATCTGGACTGTTTTTTCTTCTTGCAGCATTCTCTAAACAGAAGTTGAAGGTACAAAACAAAAAACCCTAGATTTGCATGTGTGCAGGAATAAAGAGGAAGAATTTTTATAACTTCAGAAATACTAGGTTAGGCATTAGGTTATGGCTAGTCTGCCTAATTACACAAGATGACTGGCGGGTGGGCACTCAGATGATGGGACCAAAGCAGAGATCTGAAGGCACGATGGATCTGAGTCTATAAATTTAACATGCAACCAGAAACATAACACACATTAATAAAAAGAATTAACGTTTAAATATAAAACCTTTTCTGGCACACAAAACTCAATAGTTTATCTAAAAATTGGTTTAGAAAAGATGCACATTTCAAGGAGAAGCTTACAGCAGAAGCATCATTATACATACTGTTCTATAACCTTGATTCAAGGATGTTCCATGTTTCATGATGCACATGTATGAACTGGTAAACAGTTCTGTCCAGGTCTTTGGGGGATTTTGAACTTGGTACACACCTGGAAGCCATGAACGGTGTCATGTCCAGCTCCAGCGGAAATGAGACATACGTAGTGATCTTCCGCCTCAGTTTGGCTGAGTGTTCAAAACGCTGGAGACAAAGTGGAAGATTTTTTTTTTCTTTAGAGAAAGGCTAAATTTTCTGTCTTTTATAAAAAAGTCCTAAGCTTAGGAACAATGACATGAAAGCGTATTAGCAGTCAGTAGCCAGGGACACCCCCAGATTTTTTCCACCGACTAGCAGGACTGGGATCCCCCATGTAAATGCTAAAACATTTCTACCAGGAAAATAAACCGCAATTTGTGGAGGAAAAATACAGTATTCATTAGATTGTTTACCTTAGTATCTATACACACAAACTTATTCCCAACTGATATTAAGAAAAAAATATATTAAACAGAGACAGCACACACAGCCTTTCCCAAACCAGTGTTCATTTGCACTACACACTATTCAAATACATGGCTGCTGCCTACACTAGCACACAAAACTGGTGACAATGAGAGCTTGCCATCAGATTCACATACTTAATCCACCCATCCAGTCATCTCAAGCGACAGGAGCCAAGCCTACACAGGAATAACAATTCAAATTAAGGCAAAAATGGAATATGATAATAAAAAAGCCTTGTCCCTCCGCTAAAAGAAGCCTCCAATACCCACTATTCTCTCCTCATCTTCTCAACTGAAGATTAAATGGAAACAGGAACAAATAACAGAAAGAGATGAATGAGTTTCTATTTAAAGGCAGCTTCTCTCCCTATTTCTCAGAAAATCTGCTCTATTTACACTTCAGGTTAATTGTTTTCCAATTGTGGTACCATAACAATTCCCTAGCAACAGATCCAGACGTGAAACGCTGAGGCTTCTGTTATCTTTTGTGTTTCTTTTTTGCTTTAACACATGAAATGAAATTTGCATGGACAGGACAACACAATCACTTAGGAAAAGTAATTTATTTTCAAAAAAATCTTCACTCCTTCTGGATAACAGAAATACTGAACCAAGCGTAAGAAAGGTGTTGAGCACTTTCACATTGCCTTGCCCAAAGAGCAGAATCACCTAGGCATATCTTGCCAACTACTCTGCAATAATAAAATAAAAATAAAACAAAAACAAGAGCCCAACACCCCCAAAACTCCCCCCAAAAGCCAAGCAGCCAGCCAAGCACTCCTGAAACCTCAAGTCAGTCATGCAAGAATGCTCTTCAGGATGACCACAAACAGCCAAAGAAGAACAAAGGAACTGTGCTACTGTCTATTCCAGTCAGGCTATATCTTTGGCATATCACATTGCATATCATCTTGATTAATACTCAAGATGCAACTGAAGAACTGCTGGTATATGAGGGTGAACATCTGAAGGCATGATTGTCCCAAACAGTCTGAAAAGTCCCGTAAATTACAGGAGAGGCAATTCTTTCCACCTGTAACACCTTTTTCCAGTAGAAAGCAGAATGAATCTTTTCTCATGAATACAGACCTTCCTATGGCATTCTGTTTGCGTGTCAAGACCTCTGCATTTCATTAACAAGCTTCTGTACAAGCCAGATTTTGAAAATAAATTTTAAATTGCTGCTACGCTGGATATGGAGTTGCTATGTAATTTAACAATTCCAAACTACAATCATTTCTTGAATACAGTCCGTGACTTGCTCAGTGAGACCATGACACTATCGTTACACAGCTTATTAGATTTTCCAGTATGAACGTACTGACCTAGCTTAGAGAGCTACTGGAAAATAAACCCCAAAAACTGCCTGCATGCTACAGCAAAGCTCAGCACGCACTTTGCCATGACAGCTACAAGATAAAGGTCTACTTCCAACACTATTAAAGTTACGCAGGTGTTTTACTAAAGTTCAAAGCCTAGAAGCCATGTAAGAATTGAACAACTGAATGAAGTCTCTGGAGCAAAAGGCCGGAGCGTGTGTTCTTTCAATTCACCGTTCCCCAATTGGAAAGAGAAGCGATACAAGCCTTCATTTGTACACAGCATATAGGCTGCTGTTTTAAAGTCTGTTTCCAGTCACCATGGTGGTAGGTACAATGCTGCTTTTCTTCATGTAGCTTATCTGACATTAGTATCATCATCAGATAAGCAGTTTCTTGAAACACTGGTCATCGTAAGAGCTGAGGCCAGTGATCATCAGTTCCTGCATAGCAACGAGAGGACTTTGTCATTCTGTCCCAGGAGACACTCAAGACCTTAGAGGTCTGCATCTGAAAAGCTCGAGCAGATCAAAGATGCAGTTAAATTATTATGGTGGCTGCCTCTACAAAGGCCTGTGGCATCCCTTGTCAAGGGCCCTTTGCCTCTTGACACAGAATGACCTTCATCTTCTGCAATAGCTGCCTACTTTGCACCACAGTCATACTCTTTATATTTAAGACATAAAATGTACAGGACTAAACTACCTGAGGGCACCAACTGTAACACTATTTCCCATCATTACATCTGACATAATCTGGATTGGAAATGTTGAAAACTACGTCACAGTTGGGAAGATACAAGCAGCCTTCTCCATTGCAACCGATAACTTTTTCATGCTTTTCCTTCAACATGGGAGTTTCTCTGTGGCATTCTTCCAGTGGAAGTGTAGGGTAAAAATTTTACCATGCAGGATGCATGAGTGTTATTGGAGATTGGTTTCTATGCTGGTTCAGGTATTGTACTAGCCTTCCATTTTGTTTCTAGATTCTGATTAGTTAGGTTCCCACGGACATACTGCAAAGCTACATTATAATGTAATACTATCTTAATAGAAAATCTAGCTGGGCATGCAAGCTGTTCTTTATATTAATTTATATCATAAAAGATCAGTCAGTGAAAGCCAGAAGATTTGTCCAGGAATTTAGTCCATCCTCTCAGAGAGGAATACACGTCCTCTGCTCTATCTGCCCCCTGTGAACTTACTTTGAGATGAAAACAGGCCACAATGGGTAACTTCTTCATAGTGAGTTGTTTGGTAGATTCCTGGTAGCTATGGCAACCACTACATTTGATTTTGGCACTGCTTCCTAGATGTTCTGGCCTTGTAAACCTGAAAAAATATTAAAAAGCAAAGGGATGCACAAAATGATCAGATGACTTTCCACACATGCTGAAAACACTTTTTACTTCTATTTGTGGGTCACTGGCACCACAAGAGACAGAGTTCATGGCTTTTAAGTGTCATTTTGGAAAAAAACAACATCTATAATAATGTAAAGTGCTATGGTTCAGATATCCAAATCCGACATTTATCATTGCTCTACTTGGGAGCATTGCACTGAAATGCATCAGTGTCTGAGAAAGGAGCTAAATGTTAGTTCGTCTCCTACAACAGGACAGCTAATTTTCATACAGAAAGTAAAGATCTTTTGTTTTCAAAACCAAAAACATTGGTATGGAAGTTCTGAAGCAAGATGATATGACTTCTGTGCTCAGCTGCATGCTAGTCTGCAGGACACTCTTCTAGCTTGTAGCCCTCCAGGGCTAGGATCAAAGCTCCGAGATGGAAAGGGCTGTAAACACAAAGTTCTTTTTAAATCACAGATACCTTCCAAGAAAGCCCAAGTGCTGACAACTAGAAAAATCTCTTTCAAAATTTTCGGACAGGACTGCTCAAGGGAACTAAAGGAAGAGATCATTACAGAATAGGGAACTGCTTAGAGAAAATATACCACCTCTATGTTCTCACAGATCTCTCTAGAGAGGAAAATCTCTCTCACTTTTTCAGAAACTGTCAGCACAGAAAAGGCTAGGAGAATGGACTGCTAAGTCTTTTCCTCCAAGTTTAGACTTCCACGGGGCAAATAAATCATCTCCCCAGAGGCTGCTTTACAACTAGGATTTTTGAGATGAAATATTTTGAAATGTAATTGAACATTTTACATTAATGCACACACTAAGCACGTGAGGGCAACATGGTATCAGCTCGTCACTAACCCTACCTTGCCCCATTCTGTTTATGGCCAATGCAGCCTCCAGCATTAAACGATCATCACAGCCTCCTGGTCTCCCCTCTTGTTTGATTAACAAGATCTCCTTTACCTAGCCTATGTACCACCATTCTCTAGCTTTGGGTTTTGATTTTTTTTTTTTTCTTCCTTCTCTCAAGTCTGTAAAAGGGCTTATAAATTTGTTATTGTTGTTAGGAGTGCCTACATCTTTCTGTTTTTTGTCATATTCCTGCTCAATCCTTCCTCCTTCAAGCCAACTTCAAGTTGCATGGCCACACTGGTTGACACGAAGTTACACACCTTCCTTGTTTGAATCGAATATTCAACCTGCTTGCTAATTTTTGGGTAAAAACCTAGACCCATCCTCTTTATCCATTAGAGTTCAACTTCTTTCCAAAATTCATACTCTTTGAGGGTTCTTTGAACCTGGATTTTTTTCCTTCCCTATCATCATCTCTCTCTAATTCTACTAATCCCCGTGTTGAAGAAAATCACCAAAATTTGACCGGTTTTGCCTCTTGATGCATTCCTCCATCAGCAATTTCTCATTTGTACCAGTTCCCTTGTTTTCTTAAAATTATTAATCTTAAAAGTATCAAGAAGGTTGGAAATCCGATGTCAGAGGCTATGATTTTTTATTTCAGGAGGATGAGCTTTGCCCCAGGCCACAGGCAACCTCTTCCTCAGACAAGTATCTTCGACAAATATTTGCATGTGCCACAAGAGAATGACTTTCAGATCTGCTAAAAGATCCAAGTTAACTGTATATAAAGCCATGACATTCTCTCCAGTTACCTGTTTCCAAGATGCCTAAGTTTGCTGCTTGGAATGATCTTTTCTTTTTGAAAGCTCCATTCCTTTAATTCTTAATGCCATCCCCGCAACTAAGCTGGCAGTAGCTGACCCTCAGCTCTGCTTAGAGCAACATCAGATTCATACTTGGTGTTATAATTTAGACAAATATTAAAAGCATTGTGAGCTCTTTTTATGTGCTCGCTTAGCTGACACAACCAAGAACATGGAGACAGACACTGGTGGTTTCGATCATGTAAAACCACATTGCCTGGCGGCAGCCAATGTAAAATTTATTTTCTTTTTGTATCGTATGGCAACTGGTTTTGATTGCTTATTGTTAGGCCTACTGTTGCTCTGAGCCTTCTTTGCCTTCTCACTTTCTCTTATGCAAAAACCTAAAATATGTACAAAAATGCTGTTTGGGCATAATGCCATGACAAAGCATCACTTACTCCCATTGTTCAGCGCCACCTGGAGAACAGAACGAAGCCAAATTCTTTTTACCCCGCCAAAACTGTATTTGTCTCATTTCATACCTTCGCAAGCAGTCTGTGAGAGTGGTGGTGCCTGATACATGGCTTTCCCCATTTACGACACTGCCATCACTCCCCGGACTCAGTGGCCAGAACGGCGTGGAGGAGCCTGGCAAATCCAAACTGATGTCCCAAAATGGGTCTATCGTTGTGGAAACGCCACTATGAAAAAGAAAGCAGTTTAATACATGTTTAAAGGAAGTAAAATCAACAGTCTCTCTCACTTTAGGATGCACACCAGATACTTACTTTTACGCACTATGGGATCTACATCACCCCTAGAGGGCACTCAAAGATGACAGAAAATATAGTTGCTCCAGAGTGTTTTCCCACAACTGATTGTTTTTCTGAATATTTAAAAGCCATATGTTTTAGAAAATGTGTGTGATGTACTAAATGCAAAACATATGCATTTAATACATTCTCCCACTCACTGGAGCCCTGTGAGTCAAAGTGAACAAGCAGAGTTACTCAGAGATAGAGGTACTGGTCATACTACTGACCAGTATAAACCAGCTAACATCTATGATGATAGCTACATACAATCCAACTAGTTTAGAAGCATGGTTCTCTGGTCAAGACATGGAAGATGGTGCTTAAGGCTACTTCGATAAAGAGAGCGCTACTTCGATAAAGAGAGCGCCAAATACTTTTGCTATACAGTAGTGCACCGAATTAAGCTTTGCAGTTCATATTGCATCTCCTACAGCATTTGGAATTTCAGAGGCCAGAAAATAACTGCATCAAGAAGTAGCGCATGTTCTCGATCAGATTTTTCTACAAGACAGCTGAAGACAAGCCAACCACTAGACTGTGGAAAAATCTTCTCAAAATTTTAACTTGTATTGACACCAATCTTTTCTTCCAGCATTCACATTTTTAAGAGAACTCCAAAACTTCAGGGGTCTAAGCTCCTTGTTTGGAAGCATTTTCTGTTTGTACTCGTTATGCTTATTTTTTGAGTTCTCTCTTCCTCTAAAACTAGTGTCTTTCACCCTGCGATCTCATTAAGCCTACAATATTCTGCCTTTTCTCCAGCTTCATTTGTGCAACTTCTTTTGTTAAAGTTTCATCAGTGCTAATATTGTGTCATAAGACATCAAGCTTATTATTATTAATTTTTATTATTATTATTTATATGAGGATTCTGTGGCTCTACAAGGCAAAGAACAAAGTTTCATACGTTTTCCTTACAGTAAATCTTCTGCAAATCTCTCCAGGAAACTGAGAATAAAAGCAGATTCAAACAAGCACAGCAAAACAGTCCATCTGCAGGACAGCGTGCGTAATTATAAAGAATGCAAGATGGAACAAAAAACAAGAACTCTGACTTCTGCACTATGGCAACACCAAACATCTTGAAAAAGAAGTCAACTTGCTTCAGCACACAGAGTAGAACAACAAATACATTTTTCCTTACTCTTGTAAAACATTCACTTGCTGGTACCTGAGATTACATTAGTATCAGCCTCTTTGAAACCTCTCCTGATGGAGAGGTTCCCAACTGAAGGAAAATACGGTTGCATATCAGAATTTTCTTCAAATGTAGTGGCAATTACATACTTTCAAAACCAAAGAGATCTTGGAAGTCTTTTCCTCATGAACTTGGAAAAGAACAACCTTTTACACACTAGCAGAACGTTTATGTCCATAAGCCTGTGGTACTTTCCAGGTAGCTTTTTTGGTATGTCTTAATATATGACAGTTAACTAGTAATTGATTGCATTTAGCTGATGCTGTATTTAAACAGTTCTTGTCTTGCTGGAATTTTGCTGGTGTTTTATCAATATTCAAGAAAGAAAAGTTTCAGTACACTGTTGCACTGGAGGGTGTACAGCTTCAAATCAGAGTGCAGAATCAGAAGAAAATTACTTACTGGCAGACTTGACAGGTAACATCAGACTGCAGTCCGCCTGTGAAGATTTGGTCTATGATGCAGTTACAGTGGTTGGGGTTGTTGGCCTTCTTCCCATTATCATCACCTGGAGGAATGCAAACACAAACTCAGAAGTCAAAAATCCTCCCCGGGAACAGTGGTTTGTCTTGGACTGTCTCTCCAGTAACTCTTTATAATGCGAATTTATAAACATACTGCTAGTTCACATAGACAACATGGAACCCTGAAAACGTTGTGCATTAAAGAAAAACAAGGAAACGAGAAGTCCTAGCAAAATATAGAATATAATCAGAAGGTGACTAAATGCAGTTAACTCCTGTAGAGGTGAAGCTTTAAGCCATATCAGCTGTCAGCCAACCCCTTTTTCAGGGAATAGCCCTACCTCCCTTTACAGAGATTTGCTTTTTGCAATATCTGGTGTAAAGATCAGTTCCTAAGATGAAGGAGTTGCCAAGGTGGTTCATGAAAAAGACAATTTAAACTTCACTTAGAGGGCCACTGTGCAACATTTTTATCTAAACAAATGGCCAGCTCTTTACCACAGAACCACTAATTTCTGCTTAGGCAGAGTATTCAATAGCACATTACTTTCCTAAATGAACACAGAGGAGAAATGTCAGCAGACGCTACTTTTTAATTCTATCCCAGTCAACTTCTGAGAGTGGAGTGAGGGGAGGAGGTTTGTTAAGACCCATTAACCTCCAGCCTGCTGCCTGCATCCTGTCCTTTCAACGTAAACATGTACCTTCCGCTCAAGTTTTCACCAGTGAGAAAATGAAAGATGTCCTTATCTGAAGTGGGAAGATAAGTGCTGTGTCTTCCTCCAGCTTCTTCGGAGACACGGCAATCCTCTAAGTTCCCAAGGGGCACAATGAACGCGTACCCATCTTTTAGGCATTATAAACTGTCATTGCAGTTCTCGGGAGCACAGCAATACATTTTTATGATTTGAGTGCTGAGATTAGGCCAATTCAGCTTTCTTAGACTAACCAGAGCATTAAGTAACCAAAAATTTCTTGGCACAGTTCTCAGCTTTAAAGCATACTCCTTCCATTCCCCATGGGTAAACTAGGAGTGATGCACTTCTGCTTTGATTTCCAAGACTGTACTGCTTATTTCCTTGGGTAGGATAGATGCAATTGGTTTTGCTTTGTAAACAGAGATGCACATACAAACTATTTCACAGCACCAGCTAATTATTTTGTAAAGTACATCTTAAGATGTCTTCCAATCTCCTACAACAGAAACTGCTAAGACAGAATCAAGTTTTGCCAGATTTCCTAGTATCTTTAACTTACTAGGAAGTTTTTCAGTTTCAGAAATTAAATACTAAGATGCTGACTCCTCAAATCAGAGCTATTACTCAAAAATAATTAATTTATAGTCAAGCATGTCAAAAAAACACCCAAAGAAACTAAAAGCATAGAGCAAAACCCCCACCATTTTCTTGTGTCTAAGGTGCTCTAGCTCGAGTCTTCTTGCAGCAGAAAGGAATGAGGTTCCCACCCCCCCCCAAATGAAGCTTTAGAAGTTTGTTGCAAAATATTATGTAAACTGACAAAGGTTCCACCTGATACTTAAGTGTGGAAAAGCAGACATAGGTGATACCTACTAAGCTGATATGGGCCACTTCAGTTAATTAGATCCTAAATGCCTCAGAAAAGCTCTCACTCAGCTGCTTGCTTTAGAAACTTTTGTTTGAATTGTCAAGAAAAGCGTATTGTCTCCTTAAAATGGCTCTTGAACAAAATGCTCTAAAATTAGATTTCAAATGTACAAGGTTCAAGCTGGGGGTTATCAGACCCAGTCTCAGGCACTTCTTGATGGGAATTCCAGCTAAATCTTACTGAACTTTTTAAGGTCTCAATTATGCTAAGCTAATGAATAGAGCATACCGTATAGAGACTGTACAAGACATTCTTCACCTTTAGAAAAAGATCACTTACAAGCTTTAAAGACTACATGGGGATTTTCAAAAAAGAATTAAAAACAAGGATAAAAACCATTAAAAACTCCACTTTTTAAAGAAACAACATGCAACTGCCACATCCCTGTAATCTCACCATTTGAAACATTATCTCCCTCTGTTTTGTTTCGAGGGGGCAGAAGCAGAGAAACAGTGGCTAGAGATTTTCACTGGACCACAGGTAACATCCCTGTTGGACACCTTTAAGACACAGCCATTTCCGCCTACGGGAGAGAACGAACACTCCCTTTTCAATTATACAAGTCAGTTAGGATCAGTGATGAGAGGGTCTCAAAAGAATATCCTGTGAGCTCGTTCCCAGCAAAACAGAAGGGCATTACCCACTCAACATTACTTCCCATGACATTTGGTTGGAGAGGAGGAAAAAAAAAAGTAAGATTACCACCTACTCACACTTGTCAATATGTAACAGATGCTGAGAGGAGGTATATTATGCAGCTGAGAACTAGAAGCTGCTAGATTGTTGTGCTCAAGTTAAGGTTCCCTTCAACATTTGTGTCTTACAAAGTAGGTTTTAGTTTCATACATTTCTGGTTTTAAAGCTGGTCATAATTCCTACTAGGGAAATCAGCAGCTTCTTGTAAGAGATCGGTCAGCACAAGACTAAAATGAAAACTTGAAAATAGATCAATGTATACGCTATAGGAGAATGGCAGAAAATTGAGTTTAAAAGTTTGGATTAAAATCAAATGCAACTCTTTAAAAAAACCAAACAGAACTTACTACTGTGTCTGTGCAATAACTAAGTATATTAACTTGTGTTCAAATATATACGCATCTAATATACTACTAAAGGTAAATCATATGTAACAACTCTAAGAACAGCTACAGATTACTTTTTAACATTGCTTTTGTTTCTGAAATAAAAATAAAAAAGTTTTGCCTCCAACTTCCATTATGTATTTTAAATGAGAAAAAGGAATTAAAAAATTGCCAGATTTTAAAAGGGGCATTTATCAAAACAAGACATTAATGTAAACTTTTCTGCTTTACTTTGGCCTGCAGTGTTCTGAACACGTGCTTGTTATTCTTCATGGCAAAGCAGTACACACATAAATTTATGTGGATCATAGCAGATGACACGTTTCACAAGCATATGCTTTATCAGTTCCTAAGAATATCATGCAGAATTCACAGAGCAGGGTAGTGTTTTACTCCCAAATCTCAGCACAACATTCTTTTTCTGTCATGATACCTAGCACCAGGCTTCAGATTTGCTTTGTAGCAGTCCTTGTTAAAGATGCATGCAAAATGCTTCATGAAAACCAGATAAATGAGGAATAATCAGCTTTAAAGTACTATTCTTTTTTTGTTAGACAATTGAATAACACTAGCTGAATAAAGTTTGGGATAAAAATATAGGATTACTTCAATTTTTTTATCTTGCTTTTTGAACTTTTGTGTACAAATGCCCATCTCTGCCACTCTCTGCTGCTTGATTGTTGTTGCTCTTGCAATAAGTAAATAATAATAAAAAACAAACAAAAAAACACAGCTAGTGATTTCACTGGGCTGATTATTAACTTTTGAATTGCAGTGTTGCTCCATACAAGAAAATAACAACCCTGGTTTAAGTTTCTCCAAGTTTGAATATGTCTGAGACAAAGTTAGTAAACTACAAAGTGTTTGGACGATTGGAACCTCACTGTCATGGGGGTCTGCAGAATGAACTCTGAATTTCTTCCAGAGCACTGACAATTAAGATGTATCTGTCATGTTGACTAAAAGCTGACCTAATGCTTTACACACTAGGCAGAAATACCCATTGTTTACATTCCTCTAACAAATGAAGAGCCCTGGAACTCCTGAAGGATCCCACATGAAGAGTGGGGTATACTTTGTACTTGTTCTTCATAGAAGCATCTAAGAAAACATGCAAGAAGCAACAGATCAACATCTGATCATTTTCAGCATCTTCTATAATCCATATTTGGAGACCGAAAATCAAAATTGCCATGCATTTTAAAGATCAAAGGCAATACATGCCGAAGTCCAGGTGAACGGTTAGACTTTAGTACAAAGAAGGTGACCATTACCTACACAGCAAGGCTGTTTATAGCATTACGATGGTGAAGAAACTAATACCTGATGTAGAGTAAGCTCTGAATCTCATTTGGAAGCTTTAGTGGTGAGAAGGACCACAAACGCCAACGTACAATGACACAGCAGAACTCTGAGCACTATGCACCATCAAACCAGCAAGAGAGACCGGAACAGTACAAAATACAGGTACAACTTTAAGTGTCATTTATAGTAGCAACACTGGAAAAAGAATTCAGATTCAAGAAAGCTCTTGCCTTTTTTAGTTGGAGTATGCATTTAAGGACAGACCTTGTGCACACTTTGGGTGAATGGTAGAGAAAGAGGAGTAATTAATAGCTTCGCATTTTTTCCCCCCACCAAAATACTACTTTCCAGTCAGTCCATCTTTCCCCAGCTGTTGGAATGAAAAATAGTGATGCATAGGCATGACACACTAGATTCCTTTTAGTTAGAAACATTTTGTATTAATCTAGCAGCACAGAGGAGCCCTGTTAAGTGTTCAGAATATGCCCTGCACAGATGCCACAGCTCAAAACAACAGTGCTAGCACAAGGAGAGCTATCACCCCTGAGACATGATTTACACGGGTGATCATACAGGTATCCTGGGCTTCCAAAACTTCAGATGCCACTAAAACAAAGTATATATTCAACCAGCATTAAAAAAACCCCAAACGACTAGCTGGGCCAGCCCATATATGAATCTCAGGGCAGTTAATTTTATGCTTCGTAGGATGCAGTATTACAAAACTTATCTTTAAATGCACATCAAAATCACGTATTTTTCCTAATTTAGGCAATGACAAATATCAATAACGAGCATTCACAGCCTCTTCTAACTTGCATTAGGACACTTTCTAGAAAGCAGAGAAAATGGAATGGAAAAGGGATAAATGACCAATGTCAGCCAAACAAGTATCACTGGATATTTATACAGTTCTTAGCATAAGGAACGCTTTCATTTACTTTGGTGCCTGAAGCCTTGGTAATCATGAATAATGTCCAAAAGCTAGGGCTTTTGGACAAAATTTTCCCCATACTTTATTTTACTTCACTGTGTGTTAATTGTAGAACTTGATTACTATTGACTAGAAGCCTTAAAAGCTTTTTTGATTCAGTAAAATAAATATTTAATATTGGCAGGGGAGGCATTATTTGCTTATTGTAGCTTCAGGACATATTCTCACTATTAGTAATAATATTTTTAGATATGTGTACTTCACATGGGTGTGTGTCTGTGTGCATACATAAGTATGTAAGTGGGAAACTTTCTCATTACATAGCAAACTAGTTCATTCCAAAAGTTTTTTATCGTGACTTGAAATTCTGGTTTAGATGAACTGGTTTGGTTCCCACACAACTGCTCAACCACTTCTTTTAAATTACCTTGATGTGGTATAGATTATTTACCGTAGTTTAATAAAAGTCCATTTCTTCAGAAACAGAAGTTTAAAAACCTGGGTGCACAGATGTCAAGGATCTAGCGCTAATGCCTTCCCACTAGTAGGGTTGTAACAGCTTAGCTATGTCCATGCAAGTAGCTCAAACTTAAGGATATCCATTAAATAACTGAATTTCACTCCTTGTATTAAATGTAAATGGTACCTCTGCCACAACCCAAAAAAGCTCAGTATTAAAGGTGCAAAACCCCTAATTCAATTCAAGCTGGCTGAAACCATTATGAAACTCGATACTGATTCAGAAGTCAATGTTTTCAACACATCTGTGATATCCAACCAGTAGTAAAAAAAAAAAAATATATATATACACACATGCACGCGCTCTTTCCAAAGAATGTCTAACAATTTTTTCAAAGTTTTAGGACAGATCACAGTTTCATTTTCATTCAGGCCAGAGAGGCCAAATAGAACCAAGAATAAAGAAACTGTTGAGAAAGCTTGGTTTTGTTGGTAATTGCAGAAGATACATTTGATTCTTCATTTAAAGCCAAACCACACTTTAAAAAAAAAAAAAGTCTTTTCAGATTCTTTCTCAGTTTGAAAAGAGTGCAGGGACCGTTATTGTTGCAAGTTTTTTCTTTACAAATCTGAGAAGAAAATATTCCTCCTTCATGAACTAATCAGGAAGTATAGAAGAAATACGAACATCATTTTATATCAAAAATGATGAAAAAGCTTCAAGATTTGTTAGATCAGTGGTTCAGAAACTTTATAGGAACCATGAAGTATTTCTGTTTGCAGCTGAGTTTATTCAGTGTTAAGAAGTGAGAGGTCAGTATTTGGATAGACTCTATTCCTTACAATATTCCAACACCAGTTTCAGTACGCTCATTGAATTTCAGTTAGTGACTGTCAAATGACAGATACTAATAATTACAGAAGAACTGTTCTATGTACTCCTCTCCTTAGAAATACTCTTTTTGCAGAAGACTCTTTTGGAGGACACCTATTATGAATCTGAACAAGCACATCTGCTACCACGTGAGACTATCTCAAAGATAAAAGCAAAACTTCAAAATGTTTCAAAGAAGCAGCAGCCGCCTTCCCTTTGATAGTCCTCTGATAAGCCAAAAAACTTACCTCTAAGTGCCTCTTCTAAGAGCACTAGAGGAAAGCTGAGTGCTTTAAAGCTTATTTTTAGTGACTAATAGGTTTTTAGTTTGTTTGTTTTGCTAGTATCAACCCTACTATTTTTCCCTTACAAGTATAGTAAAAATTTCTGTGCTTAAGTGAATCAAGCTAGATCAAACATTGGCAGATTGGGAAAGTTTCAGTTCAGATTTAGTTCAGTTAACTAACATGAAATACATAATTTCATATGATATTATCAAATCAATTCGACTTAGATAATTCATCTCTAAAAGCATGTCACTGAATATTTTTACTGTATTGTACAGTTATGTATTTTTATATACAGACTAATAAAAGATACCAAAACCAAATACTGATTTTTCTTATTCACATTTCTGTAAGCAATTGGGCATCATAAATACAGTAGAATAATATTTAACCAGAACAGCCATAGCCTCCCCTATGTTATTTTCATCAGTCCCATGACACACTGAGTAAGAGTTCTAACTACCTCAAGTATAAATAGAATTAAAATAGCAATTTAAAAAGACAGTGACTCACAATGATGGTTATTCAAATCAATGTACAGGCTTGTCTGCTTCTAACTCTGGGTAATTTTTGACAGTGGGAATGGTTTTATTTATTTATTTATAAATCTTTTCCTTTAAGTCTACCAAACATTTTAAAAGGAATTTGCTAAGATTGCTGTACCGGAAGACACTACGCTTGATTTAAGAAGAGATTGTTCTACCTCCTTTACGATCCAATATTCCTTGTTGATTGAAGACTCAGTACAAGCCTTACCTTTGCAGTGTCTGTGTAGCACATCTAATGCAGCAATGAGGAACTCGTGTGCATCTTGTTGCTCGTACCCTGCTAAATGCCGTGCATGAGTCCATACCAGGTGCAATAACCTATATGGAATGTGAGGAGATCGGTGCCCAGAGTAAAACTGCTCAAAGCAAAGAAAAGGACATGACTGTTAACAAGTTACACAGCCTCAGTGCATTTAATTATTAAAAACTTAAGAGTGCAATTAGTCAAATAAATTTAAAACATTTAATTCTGATGGCCTTAATAATAAAATACAGAGACAGCTTTGTATCATAGACTACTGAGGAAGTGATCTCAGAACTGAGCAGCTCAATTTTCTCCTTGAAATTCCTTCATTTTGTGATGGATTAGCCTAAAATAAAGAGGGGAGGGGGAACAACACTCAAATTCCTTACTGATACCGCTGGCTTTTATTAAAATAGCCGGGGGGGGGAATTCCTACATTTGCAAGAGATCAGCAATTTTGTTCACAAGTTACATGCCCCCCAAAATCGGGGCAAACACCGAGGATGAGCATATCAGATGCCAACTGCCATCCAGCCCCTGAACCATGCCATGGTAACTTTCTGCATCCAATGGCTGTGCATGATCCTATCTCATGGAAAAATTTACAAGCAGGATAGCAGCCTCATGCCACTATTGGCCTTTTACTGTATAGCTACAGCAGCGCAAGGCTTTAGAAACAACTTTATTCAGCACAGCTGCTTGCAGAGCTGAAGATACCACTTCATTCACCTAGCCGACCAAAGTCGGCTGCCCGCTACCACTTCTGCAGGGTGTCACTGCTGGAGTTCTGGTCCTGGACCAGCTCCTGCATCTGCTTCAGTCAAAATCTGATGAGCTGGCTACCGTAGTGACTGCAATTGCCCCAGGTGATTTTGCCAGAAGCGTATTAGAGTGCACAGACAAATTATTCAGTCAGCAAAACCATGATGTGAAACACCACTGCCGAATGGTGACACACAGCTGGGGAGGTAAATCAACACAGAAGAGGAAGATGGATAACTGCCTACAGAAATGCATGCCCCCCCCCCCCCCCCCCAAAGGTCTGTGTTTCCCTGGGTCGAGGTTCAACTCCTTCCTTTACCCTCTCCATTTCCATCCAAGTGCTACTGCTGCAACCGTTCTACTTTCATCTTCCTGGGTCCTCACTTCTGCTGCCAATTCTGGCATCCAGAGTCTCAGACTAAAGCTAACAGTCCCTTCTTGAGCAAGCTGACTTTTGTATCTATTCACGAACCCCTGCACCATGATACCAGTTCCAAAAGCAAAGCAGAGATGCTTGTGGTGTCCCTGCAGGGAGCCAGAAAAGGCCCAGAAGACTTTATTCACTTGGGGTTCAGGTTGTGTTTAACGGGGTAACATTTTATTTTTAATAAGTGGAAAATTTGTAAGTAATTTTCCCTAACCTTTGGAAAAGGTATTTGCCAGTAAAGGGTGCCTGCAACACCACAACTATGTTTTGTCAAGATTCTATCAAATCAATGGAGGTTTATTTTCAGTTACTTCCCAAACAGAAGACAGTAAGCAGCAAATACACAGAACAAAAATAAGATTTAAAACCCCAGCAGTATATAATTTCTCACTCTCATTGGAAAAGCTGGCTTCCTTCCCCAGCCCTGAGTTTCTCCCTGCCCAGTCTCTGAGCATTTTATATCAGTGCGAGCACAGGCACTGTGCTACAAACCTGCCTAGATAAAACATATTGTATTTTAAGGGACAGGTAGGCAAAAGGTAGTACAATCTTCTCATCTAGTCCTCACATCTGTAGGGTTTTCTGAAGGGTTTTAGTGTATTTCCTTGCAAAGAAATGTCTTTATTGCAAGCTCTGCTCTTTCCAAACAAGAAGATATACCTCTGCAGCCAAATGACACAAAACGCTTCTATAAATAAAAAGATCAATAGGTAACTCTGATGCCAACAAGAACGACACCAAGGGACTGGAGCAGTAGTATGGTAATTGAAATCTGCTGACGCAGCTGCTGCTCAACATAATTCAGGGAACTGCAGCAATAAAACTTCTCTGTTCTGTCACTCCTTACAATTAGTCCCAGAGCTCTCCAGTCATTTTAACCAACAGCACTCTCCATAATTACTCCACTGCAGACACTAGACCTGCCAGCAGATTTTACATTCTCTAGCGCTTCGTTAGGATTAGAAGAATCTAACAAGAAGCTTTATCAAATTATTAGCTATTATCACACAGAAACTAGAAACACACCTAGTAAGAGTACTGTTGAATATATGTGGGGGTGGGGGAAAGCTTCACTATTCTAATAAATAAAAAATGAAACAAAAGAATCTAAGCATACTCAATAGCAGTATTTTAACTGGAATGTATAAAACATCCATCCCATCTCTGTCATTTCCTTGTTGCTGGGAAGACCAGTCTATCACAGCTGTTCCAATCCACAAAAAGGAAAAAAAAGTCCATGTAAAGTCTTATTCAATCACTATTACACAAACCTTTTCATTAAAGTATGCAAATATAAACAATGATGTATTTGCAAGTCATCTTTAAAACACTTCAATGGCACAACTCTTCCAAACATAATTCAAAACAATTTCTGTTTAAATTTGTTTTCAATTCAGCAGTATCAGTTGTTTATATTGGAGAGAACTAGTTCAAGCAGTTTGAAAATGCTTGGTAATGCACTGTTTAATTGCTGTTCCAGGGAAGGGAAGAAAAAAAAAAAAAAGAAAAAGAAACCAAACCAGGATTCAAAGCCTCCATTCTTACACACAACCTCAGTAACAATAACTTTCTTTTTTTGCACTTGAACATTTGCTCTTAGATTCTAAAAGGAAGACTCTATAGGTGATTTAGAGGATTCTAGGCTTTGTATTTTGCATTACTGTTACCAAAAATATACAGATAACAGAGTCAGGTTTAAAAGAAACAAAACACCACCACACACATCTGTACTTCTTTCTCCTCCTGCCAAACACACATGCATGGAAGTTTCCCAATTACGTGAACAGATACATTTGCTCTATCCTGCATATAGATCAACTAAACAGTCTCCAAGCTTTGTAATCAGGAATTTATAGGCATAAATCCTGTCCCAGGCTCCAGTCCAACTTCAGAAGGTAAAACCCCCTCTTAGAAATTGGTTCTCAATTAAGACTTTAAGCGTACTGAAAGTTTACAACGGATAAAGGGAGCGGGTAATACATGCGTCTTTCAGAATAAAAGAACACCTACTGGAGGTTTCCCAGCAAAGAGCAATGGTTCAAGGAGTCAGAAAAAACATATTGCTTGCACACACTCTGTACGTTCTATACTTATTTCAGAGAAAAGATTTTACTAAATTGGCACAAACTCTGTATTTTCCATTACAAAATGCAAGGCCTCCATCTATGGAAAGAGCCTTAACTACTTTTCTCCCTCGTACCTTTGTTGTAACTTATTTTATACATAAGCCATTTCAACAGTGTACCATCTTAAGGTATCAAAGCCATAAATCATCCCATTCTTTTTCCTTTTTGTCCACACTTCTCAACTCTCCACGTAGTTGTGCTGTGCACTTTGATAGGCTCATGAGGATGAGTAATGATGGGAATAAAGGCGGCTTTGTTCTTTACATCTCTGAGTGGATGCACTGCATTCTGCTATATTCCCAGGTATTCTTGCTATTCCAGTCACAGAGTACACTGAGATACAGATCCGCTAATCCTACCATCCTGATTGGTCATTCTGTAAAGGATTTAGATAAACCTTAGGGTGGGGACCATCTTGAAATTAATTTTCATTGGCGAAGACTAAAACACAAATACCAGTAGGTAAAAAGTAGTGCACAAACCCTTTCAGCCAAAAGGCTCAATGAACGGGTTCTGTGTGTTCTATCTTCCCTCCATCCAGTTTCACCACTATCTGTTATTCCCAAATTCTTTTCATTCCTTTTCTCATGCAGTGTAATTTAAGTCATGATTCTATTGAGAAATAGGTTTCAAGTAGCACAAATGAGAATGTTAATTGATGCAGTCAGATCTTTTTAAAGCAAACAGAGATTCAATGCTTGGCATATTCACAAGAAAAGCTACCAGGAAAAAAACCTCAATGCTAAGAACCATCTGACACTCATTACTCACCATCAACCTACTTGAAGGTGGAAGAACTTTGTAGCTTCCTATTTATCACAGAGAAATCACGCAACCTATATAAACAATCTTAAACAAAAAAAGGGACAAGTGTTTTCTGTTTAAGAAGCAAAACAGCAAAACTTGCTTATTTACATATAGGAAGTTTCATTTAATGTTCAAAACAGTCTCTCTTTCTCCTGGAGAGTTCTTACTGGCATGCATTCACCAGATCCCCTGGCATTCCACTTGCCTAAGATCACACCTTCAGAAAAGAAGGGTGGAGGGGAGATGAAGTTAACCCTTGCCCTGATCGTTCGTCACTGGGTAAAATGCCTTGGGATAACTACATCAGTTAATCCCAGTGGGAAAGCTACGTAAAAACAAGACAGAACCTGAACCAAAGTTTCCCTGGTAATTCAATTACAAAGGAATTCTTAACCATAGCACTGAAATCTCCACTGGTTAGCTTTCCTTCATTCAGACCTCATCTCTGCAAAGACAGCGTAGGAATCTTCATCATAACCACTGCATGTAGTTGGGACATGAAAGAGAACCAGTCTGCTCCAAAAATGCAAGATTTTGGTTTTAATTCTGAACGTAGAGAAATTAAAACTCACTGGGAAACAGAATTTTACAATGAGTGCTGACAGAGCTATAAACATAACGTGGTATTTACTGCTTCCAAGTTAAAATATACTGAGTTGGTTACAGTTTTGCTTGTGGAGGACTAAGCTCTAGTTTTACTTCAAGGTGGTTGAGTCACTTTTTGTTGTCCTCCCACAGCACATAGCTGCAGTATTTCAACGTGAAATAAGGACACTGACTACTGTACTGCTATCTTCACAGTCTGATATCACAGATATGGCTCTTCCCTCATTCATATACCCTCATGTCACAGAACATTAATTATTAGAACTAATGCAAGCGTAGGCATGAATTTTGATGGGGGAAAATGAAGGCTGAGATTCCCAAAGTTGTGTGTGAAATTAAACTTGATTACAACTGAAACTAATGCAAATGCTGTGTTTAAGCCCCATTTTGGCTAACAGCCTGTTCTTTGTTACATGCTTGTACATAGTCCAGCAAAAGGCATCCTCGGCCATCAACAGGGCTCCACATACAAAAATGGAAATAAAAATTATTACCTAGACAGTCTTGATCTTTCCTCCAGCCCTTCAATCTGTAACGCAATACTCATTTCTCCTTTCCCAAGGGATTTTTTAAAAATGCATGTGTGTAAGCAGAATGCGCTGATATTCATTGGAATGAGACTTTACACCACCATTTGATGAAAGGATATCAAGATTATAATAGTATCTTTTTTTTAAATAAGCGAATAGGTTTCTGTATTAACAGTATACAGAAACTGGTGTTTCTATACCATGACTGATTTTTTTTTTTTATCTAGGCAGAGTGATCTTTCCCCATTTAACTGCACATCTGGTTTCAATAATCCTGCAGCTGCTACCTATTGGTATGCCTGCCTTTTGTTTTTACCTCCTTTCCTTACAGACTCAGGAATAATTGACAAATAAATCAAAAAATAAGAAGTATAACATACAATAGTGACTGATAAGCAACATGAAAAGTTGCAAATTCACATGAGTGCTGAGTATGAGCAGAAAACAACTTTCTACTGGAATGGCTAAGGGGGACTTTACCTTCCACATACGTTTAACTCGCCTGCAATGACTAAAAAGAATAATCTCTGGTGAAAAAGGCACCGAAGTAAAATCAAATTGAAAATCACAAGATAAAGGTAAAGCTATTTTAGGTTGGTCTCAGTTTGAACAAACTTCCACGACAGCATATACACAAAAGACATGCTCTGCGTACAGACATCTCCAGCTATCTTAAATGCTCTGTGACAGCATGTACTATAGCTTTTGGGGTGTGTGTGTGTTGTTTTGGCTTTTTTTACTTACCGAGAAAGCAGACCTATCACTGAGGAAAAGGCATAGGACTAGATTTGCTTGCTTGTTTTTAAAGACTCATCTTAAAACTAGAAGCCCATGTCTAGCCATAGTCCTTACAATTACTGATGTGCAACTAAGATAGTTAATAAAGCTCTTTGACTACTTATTAAGGAAAAGACTGTGCCTGTCTCATACAGCGCTTTTTTTACTTACCGAGAAAGCAGACCTATCACTGAGGAAAAGGCATAGGACTAGATTTGCTTGTTTGTTTTTAAAGACTCATCTTAAAACTAGAAGCCCGTGTCTAGCCATAGTCCTTACAATTACTGATGTGCAACTAAGATAATAAATAGTCAAAGAGCTTTATTAACTAAGGAAAAGACTGTGCCTGTGTCATACAGCACAGACTAGACCTACAGAGAAAGGCACATTGCAAAGCCAATCACCTGAGTGAGAAAGGGAAAGAAGAGTAGCTCATACATAAAAGGTACAAACTGTATCAACACATTCACTTTTCTACATCCTCCTGGCCATTAATGGGTTTCCACGTAAGAGATGATAGCAAAGATGTTTCTCCCTGTTAGAAAGCACTGAATCGAGATCTTTAAAATATTTATACAGACCTACGTAATCCAGTGCCTTAAACCACAAGGCTATATACTATTGCTTTATTCTTACTCCCATTATCACCCAAAGAGCCTGTGACATATTTTCCAGTTACAACTTGCACCTTTAATTAAAGCACACATTCACCTTTAAGACTAAAGACTCGCAGATCAGTCTCAGAAGAGCAGGCAGCACTGTAATTATTTCCAATACCAGCTTTGCCTAAACAAAGGTGACTTAAGAATAGGATTTAAAAGGCCAATAGTTTCCTTTTCAGCAGTCGGGTATTTTTGACAGTAGGGTCTCACTCAGTCTTTACTGCTCTGTTTTGCCACACCTTGAGGGGAAACATAATTTACATTCCCTTTATATTTGCACATAGAACACAATCCCTTTTGGGGTAAGAAACAGCCAGTGTCTGTGGAAAGGCGATGCTATTGTGGCAAACAGCACTCACCTCCTGAAAAAGCGTAGACATTTCACAGACCAGACATGAGCTGGGGCTTTGCATTTCACATTTGTGCCTGTCGGAGAGGAAGAAATCTCGCAGCAGTGGAGTGTGGGTAAGTGCCTGGACAATACAGTTCATAAAACATGTGTTCCCAAGATTGATTAGCCCTCGTAGACCTAAAAAGACAGAAGGGGAGGGGATGCATAAGCATTATCAAGTTAACAAAATGGTGTATTTGCATTTTTATATAGTTTTCACAATATTGCCACAGATTTACTATATATGCACGGCTCCAAGTACACAGTTTTCTATTGTTTTAGGTAGGCTATTGGTTTTGATGTACTCAAGGCACAAGCTGACCTACACTAGGATTTGCTTTTTTAAATTCTCAGAAGAAAGGAAACCTGAGAGTACAGCAACACCAATAGCATTATTTTGCAATGGCTGTTTTGCCATACATCACCAAAACATGCCCCCTCCCCAAGCTGATACCAAAGTGCAATGACAACAACTGGTTAAGTCACTATAGAATGAAACAAAACATTTAAATAAATCAATAAATAAGTTTTCAGATAGTTTGAAAGGCTTTCCCTCATGCAGGTCACGAAGCCAGAATAAGGTTTTTGTACTGTTATAATGCAACAATCATCTAAGACGGGCAGCAAAGGAAACAGCCTTGACAAAACAAAGTCAGGCTGTGACATCCAATGCAGACTTAGCATATCCTTTTTTTTTTATACAAAACCCGAGATCCGATCAAGACAACCTTAAAGAGAAACTGAACAATACTAGTTCCACACTTGTTTTAGCTAAGTTAAACATTAATCTACAGTATACATCAAAAGATTCAACTTGACATAAGAGGATTCATCACACCTTAAGTCAAATGTTCAGTAATGCCCAGAGACGATTTCTTGTGCTTGGAAACCAAGATGCTTAAAGGAAAGCTCTTTTGTTGCACAACAGAAGAGAGGTTAGGAGTGGGGAAAGCTTTTCAGTCATTTGCAAAGTCTAAGCGAGAAGAAAAACATGCTCAAATCCTTGAGTATTCTTCCAAAATGTTAACATAATACCACCATACAGGAGTGCTAAACGAGAAGAGCATCAGGTGGATAAGAATGCTTATTTTTAATCAAAAACTTACTTTGAAACAAGATAAAATGCACTGATAGATACAATTCTGGCATTAAAAATTAACATAGTCCTCTTCTGTAATATAAATGGGATTACTACACAAAAGGTGAACGAAAAAACAGGATTACTTGACAGAGAACGAAGAATTTCCTTGCCATTCCGGGGGGGGGGGAGTATCAGCTGGCAATGCTGTGGTAATTAAAAATGGTGCAGTTCCCTTGCAGTACACCAGATAGTGCTCAAAGGGCTCTTTAGCCTCTTTCAGCAGGAGGAGGTGTGGTCCAGTTGCTACGTGACCAGAGAGAAACGGCACTACATCAGCTTGAACTGCATACTAAGCTGTAGGCGATGGACACAGAGCCCTCTTAAATTTTCTTTCCTGTACCTAATGCAACACTGTCCTCCTTCCAACAGCTTCCTGTTGCTTCTGTTTACTCACAGTGCAGGACAAAGTTTCTCATTATATTATAGTAACTTCTACTGGGCAGAAAGCTTATTGCAATTATCTGCTTTATTTTCATGCTTGGAGGCAACAAGTGTATGCACAACATTAGCAAAGTGTTAAATAGTTAATTTGTTGTAGCAGCTTGAAATACGGTGTGATGCTTCAACTTTGTACACAATCCTATTGCAATCCCCAGTCTACATGTCTCTGCAAACAGTGTCACAACAGAAAGGTGTTGATGTTGTGCAAGTGGAGAAATGTTCGGTTGGTACCTCTTGCCTACCTCTCCTCTGTATTTTCCATTTTAAACTTACTGCTTTTATTTAAAATCACAGACTGTGCAAACAGAAGCCTGTAAGGCTCCCTGGACATGCCTGAGATGCACCAGGGTATTCTGAGAACCAGAAGAGTCTCTCCCTATTTCTCTCTGGAAAACTCGGTCCCTCTGGTTAGCGCCAGAATTCAAAGTCAGCCTGCACAGCGCAGAAGACTAGTGGAAAACCGGTAGTACCTCTAGAGACTCACCCTATCACTTTTCTTTTCAATATCTAATTGAGCAATCACAAGTAAAAGTAAACACATAAAGGCAGCTTTTTGGAATCATTTATTAAGCATCATTTATTACATGCCTGTGGCTGGACCTTCTTTCCCTGTGACCACAAGAATCAAATCTTCCTCAAAGTTGCCACCAGAAGACTAGTTACAGGCGTCAAACTCAGAAGGCTCTCGTGGTTTACTCTACTTGCTTGGTCTTTCGGTGTCAGTTTTTCACGGGTCTAAACGGACTGCTTCATACACTATGACTTCACTTGAATGAACCGAGACAAAGTAACCTGCAAAACAGACAAGGCTGAAACGTGAATACTCCAAACCCTAATAAAAGTAAGAAAGTGGTGAATGTAGCAAAACATGAGAACTTACTTGGCTGAAAAGGGAAAAATGTAAAGGAGCATACATCAGTCTTATCCTTGAGGTCGCAATGACTGCAGCTGCTATACCATCTCTTAAACTGACGTTTGAAGTGAATCAGGTATGATGCACTGAACTACAGCCAAGATACTGCGTAACTAATTGCAGCATCTTAGAAAACGTCAAAATTTGGGGTAGGTAAACTAAAGAGCTGACAGAACTCAGAACAACACATCCTCTTGTGCTTAACTTATGGGGAAAACATGAGTTTTGTTGGAAAGAAAAATAGCTAAAAATTAAAGCCTATACAGCATTCTGGTCAATAAAATATTAAGAATGTAAAAGACTTGCGTCTGCCACACCTTTTCCCTCCCCATTAATAAAGCCTGGCAATATTTAACTGGAATAGTCTAGCATTGCAACATGTGGGTCATAAATTAACAGAAAAATAACATGCCAAAACCTCAAATGCAGCAGTCCACTTTTGCTAGCGTCAACAGTTGTCTCCACTAGCATCTAATCAGTAGACAGTATTTGTGCAGAGGAGTAGGCTAACTGTCCAAGGATTGCCAACAGGATCTAACCTCTAGTAATAAAGCTGCGGTACTTTGCAGACTTCTGCTGTGCTTCATAGCATTATCTTTATTTCTGTTTCTTATGAACTGTTTCTGAAATGAGCAAGAGCCACCAGTGAGATACTTCATATATTCTATACACAGATGTGTGCTCTTGTGGTAAGTGGAGTTAGCAGAAAAGCACTGTTGTACTTCTGAACCTTGCTAATGTAAATATTGGAATAAATTAATATTGCTGTCAAGACAATATTGTCATGTATGGTATAATCATAAAAAAGAAGACACCCTTTAATCAACATGCATGGTGTACGACCACTACTCTCATTCTGTCACATGCTGGACAGGCAGGGCGTAGGCCAAGAAGCAAGAAACCTACTTCTGCAATGCCTTGAGCACACAGGTAAACCCATCTGGGAAATTCTTTTTATATTTGGTCTCAAAACTAGGTTCTAAGCAGCTGACTTACCTTTGTCAGCTTCAGTTCTTCAATCTTCTTCCAGTAACAGGTTTTGTTTTTTCAAATGCTCAAAGTAATAGGTCTGCAATACTGGGCAACAATGCTTGTTGTGATGTGATCTAGAACACTGGTTCTGCAAGTCCACCCACGCAGGTGAGATGAAAAAACCAAAACAAGATAAGGAAATTCCACTTCCCTGTGAAATGCAACTGTACAGCTGTTAAAGGTGGGGAAGCGAGGGAAATGAGAGGACCACACATGAATACAAAATACAGAAAAAAACAATCAGGCGCCTATCTTGCTCTCCTGGAAGAGGTTCTGTTTGTCTCTAAAACTAGGCTTCGTGCTGGGATAGGAAAGACAGCAGACAAACCAGTCTGAACAAATATTACCACACAGAAACTGTGATTTATTTGAATGAAGGTTCTGGAAGTAAGAACATAGGTCACTATATAACGCAACTTTGTGAGACAATCAGGAAATCATTCAGATGCACTAAAGCACAGCCAGCTTGAGATCCTTTTTACGTTAAACACAGGTTGGCAACACCTTAGAGCAATTTTTTGTCCCCTACCCCCAGCCCTCCCAGTTCCCCATCTGGTGTTGATGTTTCCCTGAAGCTCCATCAGACAGTATCAGAAGTCAGTGCAAGCTGAGGAAGTGCTCACTGAAATATTTAAAGAGAGTTCAACATAACCCTTGGAAACAGTGTAGCATGGCAATGAAGATTTCTAGAACATTTTTAGGTTTTCATCCTATGTTCATCAACGGGAATTGCAACATCATTTAAGAGCATCTTTCTGAAAATGTATTTCAAGGGAGAACTGCCCTACTTCTTAGCACCTAAAACCAAAACCAAATTCTATCTCAGCTCTCAAGTTTCAGGTGCAGACCATACCATGCGTTACCAGAATGTATCTGTTACAAACACCGGCCCCAGCCAGGCCAATACACTACTGTTCCACTTGCGTGCCAGAAGCAGCGTAGTTTTGCTGATGGGGTTAGTGACAGCAATTATTCTCAAAAGATAATCCCTTTTGAAAGAAAAAAAAAAAAATCTACTCATTTCAGAAAGCAACAGTATGCAGATACATGAAATTACAAGTCTACACAGGAAAAAGCATGACATGCTGTGACACTAGTGAGCATGTAAGTTACCAAAAAAAAAGAACCATGCAGTTTTGGTGAATTTATTCCACACCACTTCAGCTGAAGCATCCTTTCTCAGTGGCTGCATGAAACCTGCATCTAACTGCAGAAGCAGAAATACTGAGTCGAATGTATTAGAAAAGGTTTTTTCAGAGGTTTTTACAGAACTTTTTTTTTTTTTTTAAACAAACTTAACAATGACACACTCAGGTATTAAATTATTTTGACAACAGTTTAAGAAAAAGCTACATAAACTTTTTGGCAGCGAAGTTAAATGAAAAAATTTCAACCACCTGATCTTAAAAACTAACTTAACAATTCAACATCTCTACCAAGAGCAAACACACAGCATGCAATCTACCATGAAAGAAAAAATAATCGGGGGGGGGGGGGGGGACTGTGTTTGAGCACATTTTGAGTTTCCAAAAAATTTGTATTGAGTTTCCAAAGATGTATAAGTTGTATTCTTTAAATTCAAACAGTTTCATAGCTTTGCTTTAGAATTTA